ATATATTTTTTAATTTAATTTTATTTTTTTGCTGTTATGTGACATTAAATCCTGCATTTATTTTGCATGTGAAGCATTTTTGTATGGCATTTTAAAGTAGAATGTTTTGGAAAGCAAGTCAGCCACAGCAGCAGAAGGTGCCCTGTGGGAACTCGCAGTGCTGTCTCATAGCTGATCTGGGCCCTCAACCAAACCTGTGGGGTTGCATCCCCAGGGCAGATTCTCTTTTGATTGATCACCTTTGTTTTGGAGTCTAATTAGGCACTCAGCAGTCTTGAGCATATCCTTTTACCCAGCTTTTCTTAGAACTGATTATGAAGATATGTGCAAAGATTGAGCAGTGTGTTTATTATAGCAGCATTATTTTAAATAAAAATTTTTGAAATTAAAAATCATCCAACAAGAAACTAATTTTTTAAAAAAATTTATTTATTTATTTATTTTTTTTGGTACTGGGGATTGAACTCGGGTCCTTGCACTTGCGAGGCAGGCGGTGGAACCACTGAGCTAAATCCCTGGCCCTAAGAAACTAATTTTGATGTAGCCATTTTGTGGAATATGTATTAAGTAATTGTAAACATGGAAAGATGCTCATTTTAACTATGTATAATGAGTATTGAAATTACATATTTTTATATGTAAAAAGGTGGCTGTAATTGATAAAATTATGGTCATTTTTGTTTTATAGGAATTTCTTTTTTTAAAATTTTAATTTTTCGGGCTGGGGATTTAGCTCAGTGGTTCCACCACCTGCCTCACAAGCACAAGGTACCAAAAAATGGGCCTCAAACTCAGGACCTTGTGCTTGCAAGGCAGGTGGCAGAACCACTGAGCTAAATGCCCAGCCCCAAAAATTAAAATTTTAAGTCTTACTGAAATACAATTTCCAATACAATTTAGCCACTTATAAAAGTATGTAAGTCAACAGCTTTTAGTATATCCAGAGAATAGGGAGGAGGCATTTAAAATACTTGTCATCACCCCAAAGAAGCCTGATACCTATTAGCACTTTTCATTTCTTCCCAGTCCTCCACCCTGCCTTGGCCTCCAGGCAGCCATGAAACTAATCTCCTGTTCTGGACAATTCTTATAAATAGAAGCATACAACACACAGTCTTTCAGTGACTAGTTCTTTCAGCATGTTTTCAAGGTTCATCCATGTTGTAGCATGTCATAATGCTTCTATTCCTTTTTATTGCCAAATATTCCAAAGTATTATTAATATTACGTTGTATTCATTCATCACTTGACAAATATTTTAGTGTTTCTACTTTTTGTTGTTTTTGGCCTTCACACTGAATCTTATTCCCAGTCCTTTCAAAAAGAATTTTGAGATAGAGTCTCGCTGAGTTGCCGAGCTTGAACTCCTCCTCCTGCCACAGTCTCCTACAGTACTGAGATTATAGACGTGCCAATGTGCCAGTGTGCCTGGCTATGTATTTCTACTTTTGATTTTTAGAAATAATGCTGCTATGAACATTTGTGTACTAGTTTGGTCTTTTTTGTTTCGTTTCCATGCTGTGGGTTGAATCTACGGCCTTATATATGCTAGGCAAGTACTCTGCCACTGGGCTCTACCCTTACCCCTTGTGTACAAGTTTTTGTGTGGACATATGTTTTCCTTTCTTAGGAGTGGAATTCCTGGGTCAAATGCTAACTTTGTATTTCTTTAGGGTGGGGTTCTTTTTTATGAGAAACTGCCAGATTGTTTCCAAATCTGTTGTACCCTTTTACATACCTCTCAGCAGTGTGTGTGGGTTTAATTTCTGCATTTTTTTTTATTATAGGAACCCTAATGTGGTGAAGTGGTGTCCTGTGGTGGTTTTGATTTATTTTTCCCTGACTAGCTA